TATATTTTTTTAGATAAATGTAAATTTCTACTATGAAATCCAGTAAACTCTGCAGTTGTATTCGCTTATTTTCTACCAAACATATTGTACCAAAAGTATGTATTGTTGGTGCTGGACCAGCTGGATTTTATGCTGCACAACAATTATTGAAGGTACGTACAGTACCTAATATATAAAGATAATGTTATAACAGAATAGTCTTGCCATAGGGAACAAATAATATAGAAGTCGACATATTGGAAAAATATCCAGTACCATATGGATTAGTACGTTTTGGTGTTGCTCCAGACCATCCAGAAGTGAAAAATGTTATTCATACTTTTGAAAAGACTGCATCTAATCCACGTTTTCGATTTATAGGAAACGTTGATGTAGGAAAGGATGTTACTATAAAAGAATTGCAAGAGCTTTATCATGCAGTCTTATTGGTATATGACAAGAACATATGATTATTTTTTTCAATTTCACTCTCAACTCTAACAATTGGTTGTCGATATTTAGACATACGGTGCAGAAGAAGATAAGGTATTTAATATACCTGGGGAAAATTTGAATAATGTAATATCAGGCAGACGATTTGTTGGCTGGTACAATGGAGTACCAGCAGATAGTAATTTAAATATTAATTTGGACGTAGAAGAAGCTGTTATATTAGGACAAGGTAATGTTGCTATAGACATTGCAAGAATTTTATTAACTCCAGTAGATAAACTAAAGGTATGAATTCAATTGTCATACAGAACACATGTTGTTTTTAATTGTATTCCTTAATTTGCTTATAATTCTACTCTTATAGAATACTGACATAACATCATTTGCATTGGAAAGATTATCACGAAGTAAAGTACGTAAAGTATCGCTAATTGGAAGAAGGGGACCATTACACGCTGCGTTCACAATTGCCGAATTACGAGAGATATTAAAACTTGATGGTTGTAAGACTTATTGGCGTGCAGACGATTTTATAAACGTAAGAGAAGTAGTTAGTACTTTAGCAAGGCCACGAAAAAGATTGACTGAACTCATGTTAAAATACTTAGAAGAAATGTCATCAGATACGAAGGCAGCAACAAAAGAATTACATCCAATATTTTTAAGGAGTCCTGTGCAATTTTTAGGCACAGATAGAGTACACAGTGTTAAACTATCAATAAATAAGCTTCAGGGCGATGATATACATCAACAAGTTGCTGTTTCTACTGGATTATTTGAGGAAATTCCTTGCGGTCTAGCATTTCGTAGCATTGGTTACAAATCTGTTGCAGTAGAGTCATCCCTGCCATTTGATGCAAAACTTGGTCGCATTATAAATTCAGGAGGTAAAGTGCAAGACAAACTATACGCTGCTGGCTGGATTGCAACAGGACCTATGGGAGTCATATTGTCGACGATGACAAATGCATTTCAAGTTGGTGCGTTAATAAATAAGGAATTATTAATCACAGGGAACAAGCCAGGTTCTGTAGGTTTGTCTCGAATATTAGATCAAAGGGGAAGACGTGTAACAACATACAATGATTGGAAAAAAATTGATGCAGTAGAATGTGAAAGAGGAGAAAAGTTGGGCAAGCCTAGAGAAAAGATAGTTGATACCAACGAAATGTTGGAAATTGCATCAAGATAATAATTATGAATTCAAATCAATCAAAAGTTATTTTTAAAAATTTTCTTGTATACAAATGTATGTTCTATTTGTATGTAAAAATCATAATTAAATAAATCTATATTATAATATAGTATATATGTGCTGCGTTCGTATCTTTATTTTCCATCACAGCGATAGCATTATTAATCATTATCTTATTTATTGTAATAACCTTGCAATTGGCGGTTGAGTGGAGTGGATCGCCCCTTCCATCAGATCACGGTTTGAAAAAGAAACAATGATAATCGTTGCTATATCGGTAATATTAAAAATGTAAACACTAGGATTATTTTGTAACAACACGCGTGTTCAATTCGGATTTTATTGCGAAGTGTATCGGCGCATTTCAATATTTTAATTACGTATCATTGACAAAAGTTCCAGTTTGCGATCGCGCGAAGGAAAATTTCAAATAATTGCTATGAGACGTTACGTTAGAACAACGAATGTTAAACTGCTATCGAGTTAATCGTATTGAGTCATAGAAGATAAATGAAAATGGAAGTTCTTTACATCATTATGCGTTGGATTATGCGTTAAAAGATGAGAACGTTAGAAGGAAAGGTAGTTGTTTTGGGTGCACAAGGTAAGCACTAGGTTAGCCTAAAATCTGTTTAAGAAGACAGTACTTATTTTTTGTTTTCTTTCATTGATTCATCTTGAATCTACTCTCAACACACATATATGTATTTCTTCTATGATCCATATGGATTTTATGTATATTCTTAATTTTCAGGCGTTGGTAAAACAAGTATGATTGTACGCTACGTTGGGAAGCCATTTAATCCTCACATTAATCCCACAATTGGTGCTTCCTTTTTTACATGTAAATTAAATTTAGAAAATGCAGGAGTAGTACTACAGGTATAAATGATACAATATATTTCTTACTACATATTTAAAATGTTTGTAAGCCCAAGTTAGGACCTGAAATTATGTTCGCATAACTATATTAACAAGTTATCAGTATAGATTCAATATGCCACTTTCTTTGAAATATAGGTCTGGGACACAGCAGGACAGGAAAGGTTCAGATCAATGGCACCAATGTATTATCGAAATGCCAATGCAGCTATGCTTGTATTCGATTTAACTCAGTATAACACATTCACTGCAATGAAAAGATGGGTATCAGAACTTCACAAGCACATAGAAGAATCAATAGTGTTGGTAGTCATCGGAAACAAATCTGATCTTAGAGAGAAACGACAAGTAGATGCCGAAGAAGGTAGAATTTATGCTACGGATATCGGTGCCACTTATCATGAGACGTCGGTTCCTCAGGGCGAAGGAATTGAAAATGTTTTTCTAGCTATTGGTATTGGCCTCCTTAGATTATCTTCAACTGAACACGATTCTACATCGATCAAAGTGTACGAATCCATGAATTCCAGTTGGAGCGATGTAGACATGTCGCTTACACCATCCCACGAAGAAAGTCCGCAAAATCTTAGCATTGCTCATGGAATACAAGAAAAGCCGCACACGTGTTGCTAGCCTATTTTGTACTTTTATCGTTAAGACATAGAATGATATCATGTCTTTGTAATTGTAGTCTTCGTTAATGTCTACAAAAGATCTCTATTTTGTTGATAATATACATGACCGTGCACAAACGTAGGTGCGTATATATTCATTTTCGATTTAAACGAATGTATATATACGTCACATTCTAAATTTTTGCTACAAATATATCATATATATATATTGTAATTATGTATTATAAATATTAGGTGTATAACTTTGCTTCCGTCGTTTTCCAATAGAATGTTGACTAGACTTTGACAAAAGATGATCAGTTTTTTCGAGGCGAGATACGGATGCTGCCCGAAAGATGAGAGAAAGTAGTCGCCAGCGATGGACAATACGTTGAATCACAAACATGGAACACTTTTTCACAATAAAGCCTCGAATTTCGAAAAAAAAAGACGGCGGAAATAAAGTTCTGCACCTAATGTGTCGCCCATATTTATTATTTTTAATACTCCTTTAATAAAAGTGAAAAATATCTTATGACTTTTCATTGAATACCACTAATCCAATATGTATTATGATAATGCATGATTTGTCATTAATATTATCGTCGTTTAAGATGGTAAGTGGTATTTGTTTCTTGTAGCTACTTGATACAGTATTACAGGATACATATCATGTTGCCAATAGATAATAAAGCAAATAGAGGCGAGTCTCATGCTCGTAAAATACGGAACGATAATCGTAAGGTGAGTCATTCATTCTTTGGGCCAGGCCCCGCGAAGCGTGACGCGTCCCAGCTTTGTTTAAAAACTTGTCTTACTTCCGTTACGCAAGTATTTCTTTCGTATGCCTTCATTTGAGTCTCTAATAGTTCATAGGAACGATGATTCATTCTCACATTCCCATAAACAACCCATTAAATTAAATGTATTTCTTTATGATCGAACTGAGTTTATTTCTTCTTGTTATTAATACACATAATTATAATACATTTCTCATCTGAATTCGTGCTTTAAAATCGCAGGATTGCATTTCTCTATGCACTGACATTAAATTACATTTATATTGTAAAGTAAATTTAATCAATTACGTAAACCGTGCGTTCTCGCTTTCATTTCAAGCGCAATGTAAATACATGCTGTGCGAGTAAGCTAATTAAACGTACTCATACTGCGCGACCAAGTCGCGTGAATAAGTACGGGAAGAAAGGAGTACCCACCTCGAACATGTCCCGGTGTATTGTACATGTTGGAGTAACGAGTAAGGAAACAATGTACTGCGAATGAGCGCACATTCAAAGAGCTCCTTCGTGTCTATGAGGAGATCTACAATGGAAGAAGGAGAACCAAGGGATAGAGAAACGATTCTAACGTAATGGTTGCTTTAGAGAACTCTTTACGTTTTGTATAAGAGAGCACTGCCGTTGCTCGGTATTCTCAGTCAAGTTTAGATCGTTGAATATCACAGAATCATCTCACTTAAAAGACCGTTCCATTCTCATTCAAGAATATCTAGTGCAAGATGCATAATCGTGATTAGGCTCAAGAAACATTACGTTTTACACGGTACACAGTGAACAATTCGATAGTTATCGTCAATGAATTTAAGTTAATTGGCCACGAGTATTTTATTATAAATTCATATAAATCGTTGTTAGGTAATATAGTTTGATTACGGAACCGGATCATTCATCGATCAATGATATCAAAATGTTTAAGCCCAGATACATATCCTTGCCCCTCGTGTGTCAAACTTTCAGTATTCTTCAACTTCATTATTCTTCAATGTCGTGCCTTACGATTGATAATCATCTAACACTCGCCGCGAATGGTAATTGTTACAATAAAATGTATACAAATTAAATAGAGAATGTTTAATTATGCGACAACAGCGATAAGAACAGATTGTTGACTTAGATTGTTACGCAAGGATATCGATTGGTTCCAAATTACCGGATGAGGACGTCGTGTCACGAACCAATGTCACAAGCTTGTCGGAATGTGAAGAAAATTGCTCGAAGAATAGAGACGGCTGCTACGCGTTTTCATTTGGGTAGAAAACATGTTAATATAATCTCCAGGAATAAATTTTTAAATATCGATTGTCTTTTAGCGTCGGTGTAAAGGGTAACAGTAGCTGCTTAATCAGTATAAAGACATCGTCGACAGAAAATTTAAAAACGCACCCAGACTATGATGTATACGCGAAGAAACAACAAAATTCGCTATGGTGTAATATCGATCACGTGTATAAAATTTTCCCACGAGAAAGTGGAAATGGAAATCGTTCGGTCGAAATGAATAAAATGAATAAAACCAGACCTGCTGCGCCAGTTACCGGAAATCCTTTCTCAAAATTTCCAAAATCAATGCCGCTGTTAGCAACGATCAGTACACTATCGTTTTCAAGGTAATTTTTGGAAAGATAAATCGATCATTTATCCAAGTAAGTGCAACGTATTTCGTAAATTTCAAGAAACAAGAATCGCTTGGAAGATTATGGACACCCTGGTGTTTACGATCTTCTTATCAATCATGATAAACATCATCCTTCCGATGACAAGCGTAAATTTCTGAATGCTATTGCAAGTAACAATGAAAGACCATCGACCGATCCTTTTGGTAAGTTGCAATATCTTTTATGCATTTAACAAGTTAAAGCTTTGCAAATTTCGATTGAACTTATTTATAATCCTTTGTCTACGTATATCAGTAAATAATTCATCTACGTACATGTATCTATGTATTTAGTTATACATGCGTTAGAAAATGAATGGCATTGACACCGAATCAACGAGTATGAATATGCATCCATAATTCTTTATAAAATCTCATTACTTAAAAACGTTACATGATTTTTGTGGAAGGACGAACATTTCATTTCCATAAAATATTTCTTCTGAATGAATATTTTCATCTTTTATTTTAAAGTTCGGATATCATTAATTTTATATTTCTTAGAATCGATCGTTTAAACGCTATAAGACGTTGAATGGATGACCGATTTTTTTCGCATTGCACTGTAATTACAATGACCTAGCTAGCTGAAATAATTGTATCTTGAATCCTTGATGAATCTCGAAGGACGCAAATAATGGAACTCATTCAGTTTTGAAATGACATCACTTCAACGAACGAATAATCGAGATCTGGACGATATAAGATGAAACAGATTGACAGATAACTTCCTGCATTTGCTAATGAAATGGCGATGAGAAGCATTTTTCAGATAAATATTTGTAAAAAAGATCTATCGATAGAGAAATATTTTTTGTGCAAGAGCTCAGTAATCCGTTATCCATTGTCCCTTCTCCCATCGCGTGATTATGTCCTCCCACTATTTCTACGGAAACGCTCACTTTTCTATAAAACCATGCAGGATCGTAATTTCACTATCACTTTTTGTTTTGTTGTTTTCATCTTAGAAGCTCACACGTGGTCATAGTGTTTTACGCATTTTCTTATAGAATGAAAAATCGCAGAGTAGTTTCGAATGTTTCAATCTAAATTTAAAATATCAGATATGTTTATAAAGTTTAACACTTCCTCGTTTATTATGAGAAATAATCGCGACGAAGAAGACAGCTTAAGCTATTTCAAATAACAGCGGATATATTTTTTTGTTCGATCGCCGTTACTTCTAATATTGTAAAAAAATATGTACAAAGAATTGTGGTATTTTAATTTTATTCTTTTACCACTTCTTCTTCACGCAATTAATAGTTCAACGATCTCGAAGAGAGCTAATAACGATGATTTCACACGTAAGTTAACAACGAAGAAGTAATATCCATTATTTTACCTGATCTGTTAAGTGGATAATTATTACATAAGTGTATGATCTCATCGTAATATGCAATTGTGACTTGTATAAATGTATTTTAAAAATTTAGTTTTAATTTGTCACCGTAAGCTGCAATCCGGCAAGAAAATGATGGGACCGCTCGTTGAACGCGTCGTAAATTGCGAAAACCTGCGAGATTGTTGTCGGGCATGTGATTACGAAAAGACTTTCGCGTGTAAAGGATTTAATCACAGGTATATGATATGCGAAGTGTATTTTCTTTTCGCTAATAAAACGTCTGCACTGATAATTGTTCGTTAAACTACTTCGCTCTTTATTTTTCTCACGTTACGAAGCAATTCAGTGAGACAATCAGACTTAATTGTTTTAACGCAAATTAGATGTAAAAGTCATTTATTCGTTGTTTAAAGACGCCGAACAGATGACTCGAAATGCACATGCGAATTGACGTCAACACCATACTTTCGCACGGATGTTGCTGAAGATTTCTTAGCTGATTCGCACTACGATTATTACGAGAGGATGGAAAATTGCCCTTCGTCGCCGTGGCACGGTAGTAGCGTACCGCACTGGAGAGATCCTATTAAGAACTATAAACAAACCGGTCAGAATATACCGTTGGATCACGAAGGTGTAAATGACGATTTTTTTCGAGAATCATCAATACCGTCGGATCACTCGGTCTACAGAGAGAATTATCCACCAAATCACGATCACGCTCACGATTTTTCCAATGGCCTTGTGCAATCCAACGAACAATTTGATTATAAAAGGCCTCATGGTAAATGTAATACCTATCCTATTTCTAAATTTTGTACTTATGTATATTCTTATTAATTCTTTCAAAATATATATTTTCTAAATTGTTTTACAAATATTACGACTGATAAGAGTATTTAATAGGTTTCTCGCTTCATCACAATGCTCTAAATTGGAATCGTAATTGGAAAAGTTCAGAGCCCCAACATCCTGACATTGTGAATACTCTTCCCAGTTCTCGTATCGGTAACAATTACGACAAGGAATACTTTGACGTGAAATCTCCAATTTCCTCCAAATCACAATTACATCAACGAGATCCTTCTCTTATACCTGGATATTCTAATTCTAATGAGAACGAACATTTTCACGGGAAATTGTATAATTACGGTAGCGCATTTGACTATAATAGCAATTACGGACCCGTCCCAAGGGAGCCACATTATGAAAAACACGAAACATCGCAGTCGAGCAAATGTTCAAGGAGAATCGCCGTTGGTTCGAAACTAAACAGACGAGTCGTACAGAAGACCTGCCTAGCGCACGATTTGGAACGGTGCGAAGACCTTTGCACGAGTGAGGCAAGTTTCTCCTGCAAGAGTTTTGCTTTTAGGTAAGTGAAAATTAAATTAAAATAGAAAATACCTACTCCCATCGGTTTATTCATTTGTTATTTCACGCAGGTACAGCGTATTAATCACGAATCCTACTGACAATTGTTTGTTAAGCGATCATTCTTACGAAGATTTAAACTTTTACACTGATCTCGATCCAAATCGTGATTACGATACCTATAGCATAATGTCAGATATTAAGACTTGCCATTTGAAAAAATCGACAAATCGGCATCCCTCGGAAGAATGTTTCGCGAGAATTAAAAGTGGATTCGGAATGCCGAGTGATATTACAAAGAAATCAATGTTCGTCCATGATTTAGGAGAATGCCAGTACGCATGTACTGGTTCGCAAGAATTTGTTTGTAGAAGTCTCGTCTTTAACTACGATGTAGATGATCATGAGACACATAATCACGAGGACGAGTCGTTTAATTGTTTTCTAACTGACTGGTCTTCCGAAGAAATGAATCCTGTTAATATGCCAGATATGGATGGCGCCGAATTGTACGAAAGAAATACTTTTCCCTATGGTTGTCATCACATGCACCTATTGCAACCAATGATCACAAATATGTATGGCGTAAATGATAGAAGATTATATTCGCCGGTCATGGATGAATTTTGTTATTTTCATCACCATAGGCCATGTAAATTAATGCCACACGCAGTAGTGTCTTCGATGCAAGCTGTTACACAATCGGATTGCCGCCGAAAGTGTTCAAGGATGAGAAACATCGGTATGATACCGTGCATGTCCTTTAATTACGTGTAAGTAGATTCTGTTCGTTATATATATCGTTCTTAAAAGAATTATTCTATATTTCTCTTTTATTCGAATGACAGTTAATCTTATTTGTAGCGCTAACATGGGTCATATACACGATAATTGTATATTGAGCGACGTATCGGTGCGAGATTTGAGACCAAATCTTGATTACGTTTATGATAACGATCACATGTTGTACGCATGGAGGGATTTTGACCCACATTGTAAAACAATTGGAAGTACTCCGCATTCAGTCGATGATAGAAATATGAATACAGCACCTTCGTTGAGACCATTAGATGATAGAACTCGTACGTCTCCTGTACAATGGTCGAGCGAATTTAGACCCGACGATCATGAACATGATTACAGACAGGAGCCGATCGATGGAGATGACACTCCTCCCTATACCTCTGGTAGCTTTGAACATGGACATAATTCTTTCTCTTGTAAGTAAATATAGTCTAATCGTAAAATTTAATTTTGACATTATTAATTAATTATTTAATGTTTCAATATCAATTAGCGAATCAATTATCTCCATCTCAACGCTATACAGTAAATGGTTACCCTTGCAAAAATGGAACCATATGTCAACGAAACGAGGTAACTGGATTTTGGTCTTGCGAGATTGAAGATGAATATGGTAGCTGGGATTATTGCTGCGAGCCTAGTCATCACTGTGGATTTTCGCAAGGATATCATTATCCTTGGTACGACGTCTTTGAATTATATAAATCAGTTATAGTTTAAGAATCTTCTATTTGATTTATCCAATTTTCTTACATTTGATATTACGCATAATTTTGTAGGTGTTACGTTGGTGCAAATGAAGACCAATGGAGACCGTGTAGCGAAATGTATTATCCATATTATTCACCTAGGGATCAGTCACCTTTCCGTCAATCATCATTGTATGCCGCACGCCATTGGCCTGTAATGTATTTTCATGAAGCATTGCCTCCAAATTGTTCCGTCGGCCATTTTAATTTTACTTACTCTTAAGAACTTTAGCGAAAGACTTTTTTAATAAGACGAAGGTACTTTATTTTTTTATCTATTTTACAGCCGATGTCTCTTTATGTGATCATATGACAAAATTAACATATAAATAAACGATTCTTTAAATGTTTTTATACAAGTAGTTCATTATTAATTAACATAATACATTTATCCTTAAAAAGTTGAATTATGATTTTCATTCACCGACTTATTGAATTTTAATTTTGGGGATTGTTTCAAAGGAGATACTTTTCTACAAGATTATCCCAGAATTAGCGCAGATGTATAATATTGGAGGCAGCCTCTTAAGCGTTAAATCTCTCTCTCTCTTTCTCGCATCACGATTCCTTCCCTTACTTGTCAGTAAGCGATTTGAAATTCACATGACAAAGGTCGTGGCCAACCTCGTAGTCAAGAAAAAGACAGCATATAGAGTCTAATCGACTGTCGAGGTAAATACGAAGATGGAACAAGATTGAATGATGTACGAATGTCACGAGGCATGAGGTACGAATATTATGTGGCGAAAATTGAAATTGAGGAACATGAGGGCTAAGATTAGAGCGCGAGGGTAGTAAGTCCTCCTCGCGTTAAATATTTAATTACTCACCACAATGGAGATTCTCCTCTCCCTCATCCGACCCTGTGTCTTGTCTAGTTGATTAGCGGCTGCACGTGTTGGAGGTTGATCAATTTCCATTCTGAGGAGGAGTATAAATTGCGGAGTAGTTGGTTGGTCAATCCTTAAATTATTAGAATTATATCTTGAGACGTAGATTTAGCGAATCTTTAACTATGAATATTTAAACAACTATTGGATCTATAGCCCCTATAATATAATCTGGTAATCAGAATGACGATACATATGCATCGAAGAGAGATTAGCAATCTCCCCTCGGTGGTGCATACTATGTGCAAAGTTTGATTTGAATTGGTTTCCCATAGGCCTTGAATTCAAACAATCGCGATATCGATTATAATGTAATCTGTACATCAACTTTTGTATAAAATTATTCATAATTAATAAATTAACTAATGAGTAAATAAAACTGTTCCAATTATTTAAGGGCATCATTCATTCAAATATTTTATCCTTTTGACTGTGTTTCACGCTGTTGCAGCTGCAGAGCAGAGGTCACTAGCATCGCTTTTAGACTTTGTCGTTGCGTCGTCCCTTTCGTTATTTTATCTTAATTGTTATCATCGTGTAGCTGTTGCTACAATAATCATTGTGTTACTAATTTCATCAATGGTCCAACACTAACAGAACTGTACCAGTCTTTTCTCGTAAATTACAGCTATAGCCAGGTTTATTATGGTGGCATCGCCGGCATCGCTATAGTAGGTTATTTTTGCATTGATCAAGTATGATCAAACGGATAGAATTGTATGAATAGGGAATCGAACAAGTTCACTAATTACTATAGCGCGGAAACCATCTTAATTTTTGAAGTGTGAATCCTGGAATCACAGATGGAACAGGAATATAACAAGTGTAACAGTTGAAACCCCAGTCAAATTAAATGCGTACTTGTCTTAGGAAGATTCATACATAGAGTCTCCAAGAAATTATTCAAACATGCCAAAAAGTCGGTTAATAATGCGCTCGCACACAAATAATCGACCGTCGTATATGACTTTAAATTTGGAATGTACAGATGAGCCACTCAGTGAAGCTCAGTTAAAATTGCAACAAGAGTTAAAGGAAAATTATGACAAGGTACATTTCATTTGTTTTTGTCTCTATGTTCTTTGTTAAATTTGTTTTCCTATGTTAAATGATACCACAAAGTATTTTGTTAGGTCGCTGCTTCATTGGAGGAACTGGTTAAAGATCATGGAGGTAAATTGGTATGCCAAGTAGGCAATGTCAACGGTTATCAATACACATTGTAGGTATCATTTTCTGCATAAACATTATCTTTTTGCAATTGTCACTCTTTTAGCAAATTCAGTGTTTGTATCTTCTCGTATACCAGGCCTTCAAATGCTGCACAAGCACTGGTTAAAAATACTCCACAACCCATCGTGAATATAGTAAGTATCACAGAAATCTTAAGTTAGTTATATGTCACGTGGTTATCGACATAAATGACATTTGCAGAATCAAAATAAAAATCAAGCCATTAAACTGAATGTATTAAATAATGCAAATGGACCTCAGGGTAACATACAATTGCTTGTGGATTCACGAATGGGAGTTATTCTTGGATCCGTAGCTCAGGCTTCAGGTAATGAATTGAGAAACTAATTGCTGCGACTAATTGATATTAATAAATTGGGAATTGTAGGATCTACTATTACAAATGTTTCATCGACTTCAGTACTGACGCCAGGGTCAACATCTACATCTACAGCTACAACTATACCTGCAGTCGCACATTCCCAAACAGAAAATGTACGAAATTTTCTTCTTGCTTTAATTAATTGAGGATAATTATTTAAAAAATTGTATTACTTCGTTCCAGTATAAATATACCCGTTCCGGACGCAGAACGAAAGTGCTTCAAGTGCAACAATCTGATATAATAGAGGAAGTATGTTACGCGTAAATATCGTTTCACTTAATGATCTTTGTTTTTCTAATGAGTTTTGACCCCGCTTTATCTCTTTACGTAGCCTGCCTTAGGTACTCGTGCCCAAAGACAGAAAATAAGCTCAACGCATGTTGTAACACCAAGTAAGTTGTCTGTTGCATTCGATCGCGTTTTATGAACATTCAATCAAACTCAATATTTCAGCTACAACTACTCCCCAAGGTGTGACTAATCTTAGAATAAAGCCAGCAAATAAACAGCAGATCGCACCTTCTGCATCATCTTTGTCAATTGTGAATACTACTACAGGAACGACAACTCCAACGATGACCGTTACGGTAACACCAACAGCGGTAAAGTCGAAAATAACTGTTACAAAACCAACCGAAACCACAAGTATCGGAGGAATATTAATCGGTAAAACTACAGGTAAGAAGTCCGGAACTGTTGATTGCTACTTCATATTAACATTTAAGATCACATGATTCCATTTTGGTCAATGTATATGTAAAACAAGTAAATTATTTACTTCATATTATTATCCACTTCATCCGAATCTTTTAATCTAGCTCATGAGCAGATCGAAGAATCGAAGAAGAACCTTCCGGATGGAAGGGAAATAACTTTTAACAAAATGAATGGAGGAAGAACATTTCCTTCGTTGGTGGTTGTGGCTAAACCAAATCTTCGTATGAAAGACATCACCCCGCAAATAGCTCAAAAAGAACGAACAGAGTTAGGTACCTATTAATATGAATGTGATTATTGATGGCCATTTTTTTCTATATATGGATATACATATTAATTATTAATTGCATTTTTCAGATATGAAAGTTAAGAGCGTACTTATGTTTCCGGCTACAAAGTTTGCTGAATGGTTGATACAACAAGGACTGGTAAAGGCTGAACAACATTGTGTGCAACACAGTACTCATCATCAAAAGAGTAAATTAAAATTGGCCATGTACAGCGATCAAGGTACATTCCCATATTCGGGAGGATACGTTTGGATTTCGAGTTGTTGCCCGGACCGTTTCGTATCCGTTTTCTCCGGTTCAATTTTTCAAGGAGCTCCATACACACCTACCGTTCTACTTAAGATAATTTATCACTGGGCATGCCAGACGAACATTCAAAATGTTATTTCTTGGGTAAAAATATCTAACGTATATGTAAAAACTTTTTATACTCATTTACGTAGCATTTGTACTGGCGCACTTTGGGATAAAATGAGTAAAATGGGAGGTAAAAATTCAGTGATACAAATCGGTGTAATTAGTTTGGGTACAACATCACAGGATGGAAACTTACGGCAAGTTAAGGTAAAAGTGCTTGGTGTACTCGATTATTCTACACTCGATCTAAGATTAAGAGCCTGCGATCCAACACCAGATGGTGATAGATCGTTCAAAACGCAATTCAATAATATATTACAACCGTTGAAAGAATGGGTACACACTGATTCAACTATCATGACCGATTTTACCGTTGACAAAACAACTCTTCAAGAAATGGGTTTTAAAAACGTGACACAATCAGGATTATCTGAGCAAAGTGCCCGTAATTGTATGAGTAACTATCATATTATGGAATATTTAAGGAAAATCGTTCCGAGAATGTTCCAAAACACTCTTAGTCTACTTAGCAGACAAATGATACAACAGTTTTTGGATGAATTAGTGTGGAGGGAAATGTATGGGGCGACTGCTGCACGAGCATTTAACAACATAATCGCACATATCGCGGAGCAAACTAAAATCGAATCTAATGAGGGTCTTCTAGATCGTCTTGCTAGAGTAGCTGCTGATCCTTTTCAAAATTGGTCTTATTCGAATCCGCCACCATTGACATCGTTATTCAAGCTTAATAAAGAAGATCACCAATCAGGTCGTGAAATCTTAGTTCCAGTTAATAGCGTTAAACATGTAAAAGAGCCGCCATCATTTGTTTATTCGATGAAACCTGGTCCGAGGAAAGGACGAAGGAGAATCATGACGACAGCACTGACTCCAGAACCCGAATTGAAGAAGGCAGTGTTGGATCCGAAATATCTAGCAAAAGAAAAAGATCGAGAGACTAAGAATGACAAAATACAGTTACAAGAATATTACTATGCTACTATGGACGGCGATAAGACGCTTCTTTTACGAGAGTATAAGTGCACATTACATTTCAAGTGTTTCCTTTGCACTGCTACGATGCGTTCGAATACAGAAGTGATGGAACACACTATTGGTCACGTACCCGCACGGGTACCTGAACAATCAAACTCTCCTGTATGTCGATATTGTTGTACAGCGTTCTCGTCTCAGCATCAAATGACTACACACGTTACGGAAACACACAGCAGCTTCGGCCACTCTGACAGCGACATGGTTGTTTGCGCCATTTGTGAGCAGAAGTTTGGAAACAGCGGCCTTCTCATTAACCATTTGTCATCTATGCACTGCCCTTCGGAGATGCCGTATCAATGTGAAACGTGCGGTTATCGTACTTCGAGTCACAAAGATGCTATCGATCATTATTACAGTGTTCACGAGAAAGGCGCAGGACTACAATGCCCTTATTGCTTGAAAGTAATAGATTTTGTAAAGAAAGGTAAACCCAGTGCTACTAACATTTATGCTTTTCTATTGCATATGCAAAGACACGTTATGCGAATAGAACAAGGGCGAGGAAATAAATGTTCGAGGTGTTGTCTTTGGTTTAATCAGAGAAGTTCGTTGAAGTCTCACCAAATGGACCTACACGATACTGTCTCTGGTGCGAAAGTTATTCCGTATACTAGTGCTGAGAATAGAGTAATGATTTCAAAGCATCGACTTCAAAGTAGACGGTTTAATATCGACAGTCCCGCTAGCGAATTACCACGTGATGAGAAAGTCGCAAGATGGATCACTGGCCCAGTGACAGTGAACGTTCCGTTCGATGATTTATCTTGCAAAGAATGCGAAGAGGATATAGATGAACAAAGCCATTATCCAGGTGAACAGAAGTGTAATTTGTGTCGCTATGTAACTTGCTGTTGGCGTGCATTCAGAGAACATCAACAACAGATTCATAACGAGCGACCTATGACGAGTTTGGTAGTTCCTTCGCCTCTGATTAATATTCCATTAGAAAGAAAAATGCAATGTTCGTGCGGTTATGCGACAGCGGATGGTAATGAATTAGCTACGCATTTAATTAAATGTAACAAAGTGTCCGCTTATCTCGTGAAAGATGCAGCACCGTCCGTAATGTTGAACAGTTTGGGACTCGTCCCAAGAAATAATCCCGATGAGATTGATGTCGATAATATTAAAAGGACTAACTTACATTAAGATACGAAGTACAATTATTTAAATGTTATCAGATGGACATCGCAGATAATAACTTGATGCTCAGAAATTAGTATGATTAACCCTTTGCACTCTATTAACGCCACCGTAGTAAAAGCATTATACAGATATGTACACATTACACATCACATAGACATCGCGCCGAACATTTTGAAACATTTTGTTCATAGGTCATATCAAAAGGCTGAAATTGATGCAAAGGGTTTATACAACATTCGAGAAATCGGTAATAATATAATTGCAATGTCATGTGTTACGATTTGGATTGATGTTTTTATCAGTAAAAATATTGTTTTGTTTTTAGTTAATCAAAACAGATACCTGAAGCAGAACTTCTTTTTAACTAAATTTAAGTGGGTTACTTTCAAAAATTGTACGTACGTTATTCATATAATACGTATTGTTTGCTATTACAGAATGCAAGAATTATATGGACTCTTCTATTCGGTTGTTTTATCGGTATCATTAATATGTTTATATTGCTGAGTTGTACATTTATACGAAATAAATCGTTACTGTACAAAAAGATGTATCTTACCGGTATTCAAAGAATTCTGCGTATACATATGTGCATGTATGTACACAAGTATGCGGTAATTAATACTATGTAAAGAACTATTTTCTTTTTAATCTCTTTAATATAGGACGAATTACAAAACTTATTTATTTCCTAAAGTTTTATTTATGTCTTATGTGTTCTTGTGTAATTTTAATAATCCAAATATAGCATACATATGTATTTTTACGCGATAACTTGTAATACGGTACGCAATACTATATACGTGATAGAATTAAACATATAAGAGTTTCGTACTCAGTTGGACAAATTAGAAACTATTTGCGTTAACATATATAATAACTCATCACTGTGGACTTATCTACATTTCTAGCAAGCTATTAACACCTTCCCTCTTTTTCATTTTTTTTGGAATATTTTAATATTTTTTTAATGATTTTACAGTAATTTAACATCATTTGTTATCGAGTCAACACTAAAGAGCGTATTTATTAGCACAATCTCTACAATGTTAATTGACCTGGGTTACCGAATATTACAATAACATATAATTACTATCATAATCGTCAGGATAATTATTCATATATCATTAGAAGTAATTATTACGGTTATCACTTAGTCTAAAAATAACGAAGGAAAATTGATCCACTCACGATTACAACGACCGCTGGCAGTATATAACGTATTGCTCAAATTATCAATTGATACCTTATTTCAATTATATTGAATTTAATATTTGCTAGATTTAAAATTTTTTATATTTGTAAATTTCATCAGTGTCATTCTGAAAGTTCAAGCTAAAAGGAAACAGTAATTATTTTAAATACAAAGTGGCCAAACACAAGTTACACATCGTTATACGCATATAATACGTGTACCTATATGTATACAGATATATATGTATAGTAACAGTAATACTACATGAAAGTAATTACGAAAGAAAAAAGAAATAATATGCGATAATACAAAATAAAAGACGGTGAAACCCAATCCACCACAATTAACATTGAGATTTTGCAGTAATAAATTTTCGCACAATTTGACGTCTCATAGCTTTATGTGAATTTCAAGCCTTGATGTCGCCAAACCTTTTACGTGGGAAGCTTCGTCAGCAGTTTATATACTCTTAAAAGTTGTTGACATTGTATTCAAGAGAATGAATTATTATTAATTACTTCCACCGTTAAATTATTTCTACATACTCGACTATTAATTTCGATTTATCTTTATCATACTCTTACGTTCTTTCCGTTCTTTACGTACGCGATCAAAATGTACCCCCCTTAAATTTAACGCCAAGGTGAAACGAACATTCTTTTTTAATTTTTTGTCATTTGCTTGCGTTTGTCACTGATTATGGCGGAATCAGAACTGATATCACTATTCTATGAATTTTAACTTCATTTCCAATGTATGGTTCTATATCTTGTAATTTTTTTGCCTTGCCTGTGGTTGAATATTTTTTACAAGTTTTTCATTCCTGTAATTAAAAAAAAAAGAAAAATAAACTAAAAAGATTATACGAAAACGATAAACTATTTAGAAGTCATAGAAATAAGAAAAAAAGTAAAATAAAAGCCGATTTTCGTGATAGAAAAAATACCTGTGCGTTAAATTTCAGAGAAGTCGAGCTTCTGGTTATTTACTCGATGGCATAGAGCATGTAGAGATTGCCAGCGTCACTGCCTGGTGGTACCAAGGAGTGAGTTGGCGGTAGAACACTGAATCCCAAAAACATGAAGGTACGAACCAGCATAGCTAAACCATAACAACAAAATTTTTTAGGCGAAAAGTTTTTCCCCTCGTGGTCAGTTTCACTGGAATCAATAAACGGTTGTCGACAAGTACCTCGATCCGCTCTGTCCTTACGCAGGCAAACGATGATGTTTGTACATCGCAGCGTTTCCTCGGCGTATTCCAGGAGCGACACGAAGCCTTCTTTTGAACCTTCAGGCAAAAGACAGCTTGGAACGCGTATGTAAAGACAATGGCGCCATACCACTGTTTCCCATTCGACGGATGTACTTTCTGTTAAATGTAGAGTAAATGTCAAGCGCAATGATTCGCTGTTTCGCACGGCTTTTAAAAATTCATCCTCCTGAAAAATGTTAAGAAGTACAATGAGAAATGTTAAGAAGTATGAGGAAAATTAGAGGCAAGCTGTAAACAAAAGAACAGGAATTAATCTTCATTTCAATTATAAGTACATACTTGTACAACGTGGGAGCTCACAGAGAGCTGACTCTGCTTTATCCCCACGCCGCGGCTCTCTGTGTTGACTGTAGATACAGACAATGCGGCATGGGGCACATCAGGACCACCACAGAGGCCCCACACCCAGCGTTATACAGTAATGTTGCTGGAGTCTAGAGCTGTCTTCTAAACTTTCGTCCATATATTTGCCCGACATGTCACTACAAATTCGACCAGTTTAATCGATCGATTATAATTGAATCATTAAATTAAAAACTCGTTTCTCGTAACTGTACACGTAACGTACAAGAAGACGATTTCAAACAAATATAAAAATTATTCAATTATTACTGATAACGAAAAATTAATTATTGATCAATACAGTAAAGATTAATAATTAATATTA